TCCATCTGTAAAGAGGGAGTAGCAGCAACCTTACACAAGGTTGTCACCGAGGTCTGATCAGATAAACTATCTGATGGGGATCAGTTAAGATGCTTCAGGCTGTAATGTTAAAAACAAAAGAAAAAGTCCAGTTTAGCATAACTTAAAACTAAAGCAATATGTTGGCTTCAGGGGCTGAAAGTTGGGATGGGATTTCAGGACTGGGCTGATCTAGGGTTAAATGGCCAGTCCAGGCTTCAGCTCTCAGGGAATCTCTTGATTAAGCCCTCCTCTGTGCACTGGCCTTGTGCCTGCCCAGCCTGGCTATCTTCATGGCAGAGCGATGGCTCCACAGCATGGTGAGGGAACCTGCAGCAGTCCTGAGATTCCGATTGGATGTACAGACTCATCACAACCAGTAATAGGCATGGGGCTCGACAAAGATCTTGGCCGCTCCGCTGTGATTGCGCAGGCACGGACACTGCACAGGATGATGGCCACGGCACGCAGAATGTGTGGTACAGTTGTGAAAAACACTGCCAAGCCCAGGGAGCAGGGACTAGGGGTCCCGGCGCTCAACGTTACCTTTGTGTCCCCTTTTCTGTGTACCAAGGAGGCTCTTTGGTTAGCACCACTTAGGGGCTCCTTCTGGCTACCAGTCCTTAATTATCAGAGCAGGTGATGTCGACTGAACACTTACTACGTGCCTGGCACCGCACTAAACACAACTTTGTATTATCGCGGGTAGTTCTCACGCTGGCCATCATGCTAAGAAGTATAATTGTCACTCTCTTACTGATGAGGAAACCCAGTCATGGAAAGGTGGAGTCATTGCCCATAGTTTACACAGAAATCAAAATGAGAGGTTGATACTAGCCCTGCAGTTTTCTGATTTAGAGAACTTCTTACCGAATGAATCAAAATCTGTTCTAAAACTTAAAAAAAAAAAAAAAGTAATAGAATGGCGTTTCTCTAAACAGGTTAAATAATTCATACATTTCACTTTCTCGTACTAGTTCAGTTTAAGACACGATGCCCTGTCTCTCCAGGTCCTATCATTAATAGTGAACTTAGAAACACTTTATTCCTAGGGGATTGCATCACCCTAAAATAGAAAGAGCCATCTGTGCGGAGCCTAAGTTTGGGAAACATGTTGTAAGTCTACCGGGCAGCCCTTGGCCTTGTACTCATTGCCCAAACTCTGCAGCTCAGTAGGTACAAGGAGGAGTCCCAGGCTGTTGAGGCCAAGCCTTCGCCTTGCATCTGTGACAGTCACTTTTGCCTCCTCCCTCCCAACCCAGAGCCCTCGCATTTATGATTCCCTGCAGGTAGCTTTCTCCTTTACTTCCTCTAGGTCTCTGCTGTAATGTCCCCTTGTCACACAGGAAAGACTCATCTCTCCTCCTCTAAAATAGTGTCATCTTCCATTTCCTATGCTGAATGGTTTTTTTTTCATAGAATTTAGCACTTTTTGTGTCGCACTATCTCTTTTGATAAATAACAAATGGCAGGCTAGATGCAAACATTTGGACAAAAGGACTTAGGTTTTTCCACTGCCATGTCCCCAGCACCTGATAGTGCCCAGCATGTATTTGTGCTCACTAATATAGATCAAATAAGCAAGTATATAATTAGAGTGTGGTGGCACACATCTGAAATTCCAGCTGCTTGGGAGGCCGAGGCAGGAGGATGGCAAGTTTGAGGCCTTACTGGACAACTTAGTGAGACCTCACCTCAAATTAAAGTGGGGGGAGGCTGGGTATGTAGCTCAGTGGTGGAGCTCTCACCTAGCATGTGACAGCCTCGGTTCAATCCTCAGTATGAAAAAAGGGTATATACTATGTCCTTCTTCTTAGAGATTCTCAATATCCAGCACACTAAAAGCTCTGAGAAGATCTACATACTTTGTCTAAAATAAGTGTGGCCCTAGTCTGACCACTGCATCTGTGTTGGTGGATAGTGGTGAGCTTGGCTGCCTTCCAAGTCTGACTACTACTTTTGGTTGAGAAAAAAAAAGTGCTAACATTTCAAAGAACCAAGGTTTGCAGAAAATCACTGTGGGAAGCACTGACCTGCTATCCTCCCGTGTTATAGGAGAAGGAATGAAGCCCCAGAGAGGTCTGGGGTGCTTCCAGGCCACATGGCCACCCATGGCCATCAGGACAGAGCGGGGAGCTCCAGTCTCTGCTCAGGACACACTGGTTACAGCCCTCCACCCTCTGCTGCAATGACTGAAGATCACTGGGGCTAATTATACTGGATATGCCCATCAATGAGTATTAATGGGCTATCTATCCTACACTCAGGCATTGTCACCCGAATGGTGACACTGAAAGCTCAGGTGACACTTTCATAGGACATGCAATTTTTTAAGAGCTGTTGACTGAGTCCTTCAAGACTGGGGTCCACAAGTAGGCATATCTTTCCCAAAAGTTTTAGTGTCGTTGATCTTTGCTGCTTGTTGATCCCATGCTTGTCACTGTATTTATTTTTGATGTTAGACCTGCTGCCATCTCTTGGTACTTTCTTTCAGTTGTGTCACAGTTATCAATTGAACGGGTTGCAACCTGCTTCATGAACTGAAGAAAATGCCTGACAGCATTCATGAGAACAAAGGGAGGTTGCCGTGTGAAGAGGAGCAAGTAGAGAACACAGAGTCCAGTCGGCAGCTCCTTCACTAAGTTTGTACTGAATGGCAGGCACCTTCTCATTAGGAATTTCTCACCTCCTGACCTCCTGCGCTCCCCCAATTAGTCTTTGCCCCTCCTCCTCCACAGAAGCTATGCTTGCCCCGGGCACAATGCTCTCCCAGCCATGAAAGCATAGCTCAGACTTGGTACAGCTGGCCAGCAGCTTCACATACAACTGTCCACCCCTCACGCCCAAACACAGCGTTTCTTTTTTCCTGCTGTCCAGGATTCCCTTTGCTCTCACACCTGCCCCTTCTTGAGGGCCCCTCTACATCTTTGTCATTTGGGGGCTCCCAGGACAAATGGTGTTGACATCGTTTTATCTATTGCTTATCCTCAGGTTTGTATCTCTCCATGCTAATTTGTATTAGCTTTGTTTCTCTCCACCAAGGAAATGAAAATAAAAACAAAAAAAGAAAGAACAAAAATAACCAGCCCTAGGATCATAACTGAACAGCTACTTGTGTTAGTTGTGTGTCCCTGAATAACTGATACTTTGGGGGTTCTGGAGTCCTTAGGAAGAAGTAATAAATATGAACTTCCAGGGTTGCGGTGAGGATTAAAGGACAGTATCTGTAAGGCACTTCAACGACTAGGCACAAAGTAAGGGCTAATGGCAGTAGTTCCTCCTCTCTGCTGGAATATCTAATAAACACTGTAGGTCCCCAGTAGAATTTTAGATGTCACCTCTCCTCAGCTCACTTCAGTCTTCTCCCAGGCTCTTTTCCTGCTGTCTTTAACCCCTACCAGTTTCTAATCATTTCTCAAATGGTTACAAAGGTCTACATGTCACCAGCAGGGTTAGGGAGGCAGTGAGGGAGTGTCAGTCCCATCCTATTGCAGCCCACAGGGTCCTGCCCCTCCCAGACCTCTCCTGGGACCCGGGGACAGGAGACTGCAGGTGGATGGTGAGCCAAGTTCCCCTGGTCAGATGCAGGAGCTCTAACTCCCCACCTGACTTCTCCCAGATTATAAAACCCAGGCCCTCGCCAACAAAGCCTGACTTTCCAATTCACATGATTAAGAAAAACACTGTTGGCCAATCCTCCGGGACAAGGGAAATGAAGTTCCATGTTACAGAGACTCTCTTGTCCTCTGCAGAGAAGCTAGGGATGGGGGAAGGGCTCCCTCTTTTAAAACGCACCTCTAGGAAAGTAAGATGGTGACTTTTCCTGCTTATTTTCAATTATTTGTGCCGTGAAAGAAGAGCTGTTAGGGGCTCAGGAGGAAAGGCCTGAGAATTGGTTGGGAAAGGCTTACAGTCACCTGGGCATGCTGGGGTGTCCACCGAGGACATCTAGAACACACTCCTTTTGTGCCAGGATGCAGAGATGCCAAGCCGCTGCACCCTCGAGGAGCACAGAGAGAAGTCTTCTCCTGTTAGAACTACCACTCAGACATGGCCTCCTACCCTAGCCAGCGAGGTCCAGGGCTGTCTGTTCGTGGTCACAGCCACACTGACCACTTGCTGTGTGCCCCGTGTTCCCCAGATCAGACCTGGCAGGCCCATGAAGGCTGCCAGAGTTTGTCCTCAGCCTCACACTCTAGCTTTCTACCCTGATTTCCAATGCCTGTGGCCTGTGACTGTCCAAGTGCCATCTTCCCAACATCCCACACAGCCTGCTCTCCCATATTGTGACACAGCCCAGGAAGATCCTGAATGCCACAGCCTGCCTTCCTGCCAATACTCAGGCATGTGTTGGAGACCGCAAATGTGACAGTCTTGGGGCTAAACACGGGCTGGCAGACACACTGAGCACACATTAGGCACTCTTGCCTCCGACCTCCACTGCACACTGCCATCACCTGCAGAGTTTAAGGAAATGATCCCTGTGTCTCAAGCCCAAAGTGATGTGATTGGGTGACTTCTGGAAGGCCAGGACACCAGGACTTTCAAGAACTTCCAGCTGAAACTACTGAGTAGAAGTATTCAGAAGCACAGGGCACTGAAGTGAGCCAAATGTGCACCGAGGATGTGGTGGGAGGAGCTAGGAGAGAGGGATTCCAGGACATGCTGCTGAAGGGCCTCTCCCAGGAGGTCAGGGGGGATCTGGGAGGCTCCCTCAGGGTGTCTTAAAGGATGAGCAGACACAGGTCATGTAACCCAGGAGAAGAGAGGAGAAAGAACAAACACACTTTGGGCACAGAGAGGAAGGTTGGACACCATGCAGTGGAATGATAAAACACCAAGGTTCTGAGTGGTGAGGAGCAGTGGGAGAGGTGAGCAGGGGCAAAAGCACATAGAGCCTTCCTATTGGTCTGTTTATTTGTTACTGTAACGAAACACCCAGATCAGGCCAATCTATACAGAAGGTGCTCACTTTGACTCACAGTTCTGGATGTGCAAGGTCTTTGGGACTTCCTCCTGGCAGAGCCCGGAGATGGCACCAAGCACCACCTGGCGAAAGACAAGGAGCACACGTGTGTCTGTGTGTGTACGGCTGCTCTCTATCTCTCATCTTAAAAAGCCAGTAAGCTCTGATCATTGGGGCCCAGCCTAATGGTTTATCTGACCTGATTTCCTTCCCAAAGTCCCCACCTCTAGACACCAAAGTCAGATTAAGTTTTCATCCTCCTAGTACTTCACAATAGGGATCAAACTTCAATACTGGAAGCCTTGGGGACTGCATTCAAGCCAGAGCAGCCTTATAGGATTTTACTAGGAAAGCAATGGGGCAGCAGAACAGGAGGAGGTGTGCATTTTGGCACCTCCGCTGGGTAGGCAGGAGGGGAGGTGGTAATGAGTGACCTGTTAATGGGTTTATTAATAGATCATCTAGCACTTTGATCTCCTCTGACAATATCCAATAATGATAAGAAATAATACAGGTGTAGTCAGGATCTGGCCCTATATGAGTAGGCACTTCCTAGGGACTATTTCATTTTTAATCCTTACACAATCCCTATGAAGTTATTATCATCCCCATTTGATAGGTGAACAGCCCAGGCTGAACAGCTTGCATGAGGGTCACACAGCTTGGTAAGTGGCTGAGGCAAGACTCCTACTGGACAGAGTCAGATCTCCTAACCATTAAGGGTTTGCCTCTTGCTGCTCCTGACTGCCCTTGATTTCCTTCACTCTATGGATATCTGTGAGCTTCAAAGAAAGCAATAATTTATTTCATTGGTCCAGATGTCTGATGACCCAGTGGCATCATCTAAGGGGATAAAACCTGCCCCATCAATCATTTTGACCTGCCCGACAAATGCAAAGGTTTTTGGTTCACACATGTTCATTACTTCTAAACTCGGTGCAGATAACTAGAACATGTTGGAAGGTCTTGAGCCAGTTTCCTGCAGCTCTGGCTCCAAATCACAAAAAGGGAGCTCACTGAAGAGGCAGATTCTGTACACTGCTCTTGGGATACTGAGCCAGGACTTCTGGGTATGGGTCCTGGGAAGATGGGCTGGGGCCTTCCCCGTGCTATCAGTCTGGAGAAGGCAGCAGCTGGAGTGGCCACCTCTTCAAGACAAGGTCTCTTGAATTGTGCCTCTCCTTCTTGTACAGATCATCCTAACCATAAAGGATACCATGGACATTCGATTTGAAGCCTGAGATCTCTTAACTGCATGCAGAGCCCAGTTCTGGCCATGCAGCCTTTCTATATCCAACAGATCAAGTGACTGATGACCCAGGCAGAAGCCACCAGACAGTGTAGGCCAGCAATGCAGAAGGGAAAGCGTGAGGTACCTCTAGCGGAGGGTGACGCTTTCTCCTCCCACAGAAATGGACACTAGAGCTTGAGTCTGGCTCAGTTTCCTTACTCAGGCATCTATGTGCAAAACTCTGTATCTGATGTGCAGGTCTTTGTCTGGCGGTAGGGGCATGACTGGGGAACCTCCACGCCTCTGAGGATTAGTTAGGTGTTAGCAGCCGGGCTGCTGAAGGATTTGCTTTGAAAACCAGAATAATATAAATCACTTGCCTCAGTGGAAAACGCTTTCATGTAAAAGCTAATGAGGAAAACATTGCCTGGAAACAACCCACCAAATACACAGCCATATGCCCCTAGTGACTCGTCTTTAAGCAATGAGACGCTTTGATCCCCAGCCAACTTCTGCTACTCTAAACTTGAATGGGGTTTTCTTGGCCAAGATCTTCACTCAGGGTTGTAATTTAGCATGGTAAGGATGAAATGGTTTCTGGAAACTCACAGAGAGACACTGAAGTCCCCAGCCTCAGGGCAGGCACAGACTTTGTCCTGGAGACTGGCAATGACCTCCTCATGGCCCCAGCTGTTCGGGTGCAGATCTGGACCTGGATGTCTCATCCTGTCAAGCTGTGGCCTCTCCAACTGGCCAGGTCCCTCAACTTGCCTCTTTCTGGGAGAAGTCCAAGGAGCAGTTAACAGACGCTTTTGATCTTAAGCCTGAAAAAGTGAATCAAATGTTCAAAGATTAAAGCAAGTATAATTACAAGTCTGATCTAAGGTGAGCTTCAATAAGGTAGATGACTGGGATAAATACTGGGAGAGGTTTCTTTGGAGATAATTAGGGGAGGGAAGGCCCTCACATTTGGGAAGGAGTAATATTTGTCTTTGTCATCCTATGGGTGGCTGCCCCCATCCTCTGAGGACAGAAGACACACATTTGGGTAGAATGTTTGGGTCAGGGTCCGCCTGTTTGTTCAGCCTAGTGGTAAAGCTAGATCTAGGTGTTCAAACCACTTCCTAAATGTTCTAGGGCAGTTTCCATGGCAACACTACCTCAGGGATAAGACCAGGCTCTAATTATCAGTCTAAAATCCAGGCAAGCCTTCCTGCCACCAGGTGGAGACTGACTCAAGTCTATGAACTGGGATAGTCTATGCATATGCAAGGGGCAGCTTATTTATTTGAAAAGACGATCAAAGGTGTACTACTCCAGGGATTCTCAAACATGACTGAGCAGACACCCCAAAGGGACACTTAAAATGTACAGGTACTTGCTTGCATATGATTTTGAGTAATTACTGTTTGTCATTCTGAGTGTGAATGCGGCATCTGTGACATAGTGATTTGCTTTAGAATTATTTAGGCACAAAAAAGAGAGGGGTTGGTTCCCACAGGAAAATGGCATGTGTGAATAAGAAACTTAGGGCACAGTAGCTCTTTATAAAAATGTAGACAAGGTTTAGGGAAAGCAACAAGGGGTACAGCAAGCAATGGTGGAGAAACCACAATACTTGGACCTGAAGCACAGGGGAGGGAAGGGGTAAGAACTTATAGATAAAAGTGCACTCCAGACAGGCTGGTGGGTGGCACCCTGGGGGAAAAGTTCCAAACCACCTAGGTGAGCTGTCAGAAAAGTCATTATGCCCTGTACCCAGAGCAGGACAGGATAGGCATCTTAATATTGGCTATGTGGTAGTCTAGGTCCTTCTCTCTGCCCACCCCTAAGTCACCAACAGCAAGAACTAAATGCTGATGTTTTATCTGGGAGATGCATACTCACAGCTTTAGGAGTGAGAAAATGGAAGCAAGGCAGGGAAGGTTGGCAGCTAATGCAAGGAGGCACTTTTCTAAGCTGGACACCACTGGGCACCACTTCATGACAAGCATTTTTATTTTTTGGGGAGCCAGAGATGGGACCCAGGGCTTTGTGCATGCTTAGTGAGCACCCTGCCACTGAGCTATAGCCCTAGCTCTTCACGACGAGCCACACCAAGGCATAGCAGATATGTCCGTGACTGCTTGGGAAGTCTCACCAAAGGCTGTTCTGCTGAGGAGAAACCATGACCTGCAGCAGTGCATGAACGGCAAGGAGAAGCACTGATGTGCCTGGCTCTATCCTACTTCCCACTTCCCACTAGTCCGACCACACTTCATGAGCATTAGCTTCCCCATGCTTCTAGATTTCTGTGGCTACACAGATGCCAGGTCCCCATACCTTATAATGGGGGCCATTCCACCTAAGTCTGGTGGGAAGAGATTGAAACACTGGAAATTTGGCTGGGGAGTTCCAGAGAGAAACGAATACACAATCCAGCAGGGTTTCTTTCATTTTTCAGATGAAATGAGACATAGCAATCAAAGACCCTCCTGAGGTCACATAGCTAATGAGGGGTAAGTTCAAGTTGTGAACATAGTCTGGCTCAGGATACCGTGGAAACCAAGAGAAAAATCCTTGATTTTATGAAGCAGGCAGAGGACAGTCACTGAAGGGTTTTAAACTGGGGAATAGCATAAAGATAAAGAACATTTACGTAAAATGCTTAGTCTCTAGTGTTCTCTGTCTTCCTCTCTGGCTGAACAGCAAAAGTAGGTGGCTTCAGAGAGGTGAAGGATCCATGACAGTTTTGGAGGGTTCTGATCCCGATGGACCCAGGGCTTCCTTTGGGCTTCAGCATACCCTCTTAATCTTTTTCTGTTCCAACAAAACCTATACCTGCTAAAGGGATGGATGGCTAAAGGCAGTGGGACCTGGGTAGAAGCCACAATGAGAGGGAAGGGAGATGGACCTAAAGACTAGGAACAAGAGGACCATCTGTCTGTCCATTGTTGGCCTGTACTTCTGGAGATTCTGACAGAGATGGTCAGATCTCACAAACTGTTGGCTGCACCGATCACACCTATGTGGCTGGTACCTGATGTGTATCTGCATTTGTTACCCAGGGCCACCAGCACAGAAGAAAGGCCCTGTGCAGCCTGCCCAACTGCATCTGCAGGGCTCCTCACCTGTGTGTGTGTGCTGGTGATTCACGAGGCAGGAGTGCTTGGTACAAGCTTTCCACAGTGATCACATTAAGGCTTTAAAGCTAGGAATTCCCTGCTGGGCGCTCCTTCCCAGGCACTAGAATTCTCTGTTTTCTCTGGTGCAGATGTGGGATGTTCAGGTAGAAAGGGGTCTTTCTGGGAGCCTGACTTACTCATAAGCCCTTGATTTCTAAAGTCAGCAATGACCAGGACCCGCCTAGGGGCGTCCCAACACTGTAGGAATCTCTGTATTCAGATCTTCTTGGTTATATTCAGGACTCCAGTTCATTATCTAAAACACTGAGATAGATGTATTACAAAATTTAGGATTTTTGCCAGGGATTTAGCTCAATGGTGCCACTGCCTGCCTCACAAGCAGGAGGTCCTGAGTTCAATTCCCAGTACCAAAAAAGAAAAAAGAATTTTTATGATACTGGAAAGATGATAACATATACTTATACATAGCATTTATTATTTACACTTATAATAAAACCCATGAGTACTTCTGTACAGCAAAACATGAAACTATTCACAATAACTAGGCTCAAAACTTTTGCAAATCAGTGCTGAATGAAATCAGAATTCTGTGAATTGGTGAATTTTAGGTTGGGTTTGGTTTTGGTTGCTAAATGTGCTACCTAAAGAAGTTTGGGTTTTTGGAGATTTCTGTATTTCAGCCTTTTAGATGAGTTGTGGTTGGCCTGTACTTCTATATTTTTCAGGAAGGAGGAGTCCAAGTAAGGTGGGTGCCAGCAATGATAAAACTAGTCAGGATCCCAACAGGCAGAAGGCCCAGTGCATACAAAGAAGATTGCTATTTCAGTAACCCTCCAATTCTGCCTCCTTCTACATTTCTAAGTGCTGCCGCCAGCACCAGTCCTCTAAACCACAGCATCATGTTATTCCAGACTTAACACCCTTCCACAGCCCCAGCATTCAGTGCTTAGCCTGATTCACAGGGCCTTTAGGAATTTTGCCCCGCCTGATCTTATGTCTCATCTCATGACTTCTCTCTAGAAATAACACCATGGGCATATCCTCAGCACTGGGCACTGCAGTGTTTGTGCCAGTGCTGTCTGGCACACCCCAGTCTCCCCTTCATCCCACTAAGACTGCCCTCAGCCATCACGAGTTGCTTTTGCTGCTAACCCTTCCCTGCTACCTATCCTTTGCTGCACGTGGCTGGGTACGTGGTCCTGTGGAAGTGGCTGCCGGCACACGGAGCCAGGCTCCCGCAGTGAGGTGACGCCAGACCTTCCTAGCCCCAGCGCCTGATACCATGTACTTGGTGTGGGCTTGGAACACATGTGCATGCCCCCCTCAGCCCTTCAGCAGCTGCTGGGGCTCTTAGAAGAAAGCTCCAAACCCTAACAAGATCCTCTAAACTTAAGCCTCTGCCTCCCCCTCCTGCTTCGTCTTCTGGAACTTTGTCCTTCTGCCTGTGGCCCAGCTTCAGCTCTGCTTGGCTTATGGGGAGCCCTGTGCCTCTTCCCTTTCACCCAGGCAACCCCTCCTCACCCTCGTCTCTCAGCATCAGTGTCACTTTGTCAGAGAATGTAGTTCCTTTGCCTCAGTGCGAGTGACAGAGCCAGCTCACTGCCCAGCCAACATCCATTCCTCCCCTTGTCCTTAGTTTTAAAAGAGTGACCTTATTTTGTGGTGACAATGGGCACTGCTAAAAGCTTGTGTTTCTCAGTCTCTGTTACAGCTGGGTGGCCATGGCAGTGGGTTCTGATGAGAATGCATATGCAGAATTTGGTTGGTTAGAATGTCCAGGAAAGCTCTCTAAAGGGGCCTGCTGACACTGAGATTCCACCTCACCCCACAAAGAATGGCTGCTATCAAGAAATCAACCAATAACAAATGTTGGCGGGGCTGTGAGGAGAAAGGAACCCTTCTCCATTGTTGGTGGGAGTGCAGACTGGTGCAACCTCTGTGGAAATCAATATGGAGACACCTCAAAGAGCTGGGACTAGAGGTTCCATTGGACCCAGCCATCCCTCTGCTGGGTATCTTTCCAATAGAATGAAAAGAATCATACCAGAGTGATATGTGCACACCCATGTTTATAGTGGCACAGTTTGTAATAGCTAAAACTTGGAAACAGCCCATTTGTCCATCAGTCGGAAACTGGATAAAGAAGATGTGGTTTTTCTATAAAATGGAACACTACTCAGCCATAAAGAATGAGAAACTAGATTCATTCATAGGAAAATGGATACATATTGAGGATATACTCCTAAGTGAAATACATAAGTCCACATGTAAATACCGAATAGCTTCTCTGGTGTGAAAAACTATAATAGTACATAAGATCCTAATGAGATAATTGACAGTGTGAAATAGAAAGAAAAGGTGTAGGGAAAGTTGGAAGGGTAGGGGAAAGGGAATAAGGGAAAAGAAAAAAATATGAGAAAATGAAAAAATGGAAATAAAGTTTTTGTAAATGGGGAGGGGAGGAGGGGGTGAAGGGAGGGCAGGGACAAGGGGAAAAAATGAGAACCAAGACCTGTCATGTAAAGGTACAAGATCTGAATAATGAATGTAACTGTACTGTATACCTAAAATGTACCAATAAACTAAAAAAGCGGGGAGCATGCTGTTTTGTCCTTCATCCTTCCCAGAATATACACCTAAGAGCTGAAGTACCTGCAGTCAGCTTGCACCATGAGATGACACCCTAAGGATTGTGGACCAGAAGGACAGAAGGGACCTGGGTTCCTAATGACTATGAAGCAACCATATCTGCTGTTTTGGGTTTCATTTATGAGAAACAAAAATAACTGCTAAGTATTTAAACCACGGTGAGTTTTTTAAAAGAAAAAAAAACTCTACACATCTAATCTTACTGAGAAATTACCTGCTTTTGTGACTATTTGAGGAATTATTTGATTACCGCCTCTCTCCCAGCAAATGAATGATGGCAGCCTGGGTAAAGGCCCAGTGTGGACTAACCCTAACTAACCGAGCAAACATCCTCTCAGGGTGAGCTGGCCCTGGAAGCTCACCAGCTGGCCGCTCTTACACCTCCAGGCTTTACGGCACACACTGTACACAGAAATGGTGACTTTTAGAAACAAATTCCCGCAACTATGGCTCCAGGGTGGAGGCCTTTTCTTTCCCTGTGTCTGTTATTCACAGAAGTCCTGATTTGAATAGCCCATGTCTCTCCCATCAAGCTCCTCTCTCACCTTCTTTCTCTCCTTTATGCTGCATCCAGCTGAGCGACATGGAATTCCCTGCAGGTCCTGCCCTGGCCTTTCTCCTGCTCTGTGAATGCACTGTCCTGCCACGTAGGGCTTGTGCTGCCTGACTAGCTCCTGCTCATCCACGAATCTCAACAGTGGGGCTGTGTCCACCAGCAGGCCTTTACGGCTCTGAGTCCAGTGCAGAACCATCCCCACAGTGTGTCTAAGGCCTCCCTAACTCTGTGACAGCATTTACAACCCCAGCGTATGTTCTGCATCCTGTGGGTTAAATGTGTCCTCCACAGAGATGTACTAAAGTCCTAACCCCTGTACCTCTTCATATCTGTGTCGATGGAACTAAGAGTAGCTCACTAAAGTGGACCCTGATCCACTATGAAGGGTGTCCTTAGCAGAAGGGGAAGTTTGGACATGGAGGGAAACATTACACGATGAGGGGGCAGAGATTGGAGTGATGCAGTCACCAGCTAGGCTGTGCCAGGACTGCTGGGCACTTCTGGAAACTGGGAAGAAGACAGAGCAGGTTCTCTCTCAGGGCCCCTCAGAGGAAGCAGCCCTGCCTAGGCCTGGGCTCTGTACTTGTAGTTGAAGGCCTGAGAATAACTTTGGGTAGGTTTAAGCCCCGCCTCTGTGGGTTTGGTACTTTGTTATGGCTTCCAGAGGAAACTAATAGTTAGCCCTCCCTGTCTGGAGATTCTGAATTGATGGATGGAACCAACGGTGAATTAAAAATACTTTTAAAAGACATGTATCTGTACTGGACATGTATAGGTTTTCCTTGATATTATTCTCTAAACAACACAGTATAACAATGATCCATGTAGTATTCCCACTGCATTAGGTATTAGAAGTAATCTAGAGATGGTTGAACATACACATTAGAGTATGTACAGATTATATGCTGATGTTACCTCATTTTAAATAAGGGACTTGAGCATTTGGGAGGATTCTGGATCCCACTTACAGGAGTGAAACTCACAAGGTGAATGTGATTTTATTTGGAAACAGAGTATGTACATATGGCCGTAGTCTGCTTTCATACCTGAGACAAGGTAATTTATAAATGAAAGAGAGCAGTTGGGGCTCACCATTCTGTAGCTGGGCAACCACATCTGGTGAGGGCCTTGTGTTGCTTTACAATGCAGGGAAACTTACAATGGGGGCGGGGGCCCTTGTGCAAGAGAAAAGGACCCAAGATCCGGTGACTATTACCCCATTTCTGTGAGAAAGAAACCATTTCCGAGGGTTCGTTTGCCACAACCAAAATGCTTCCCACTGGGCCCCACCTCCCAGTGTTGCCACATTGGCAAATTAAAGTTCTAACACATGAACTTTTGGAGGACCCATGCAGATCACAGTACAGACACAATCACAGTGAAATGAAGTCATAACGGATTAGGCAGGACCCTTACTCCGGTGGGATTGAGGTCTCATGAGGATACAGACGCACGGGGAAAAGCCAAGCGATGACACAGATGCCCAGAAAGAAGGTAAATAGACCACAACAGAGGCAGAGATGGGAGTCATGCAGCTGAAGGCAAGGAGCATCAAGGACTGCTGAAAGAAACCAGGACCTAGCGGAGAGGGAGCACAGGTCTGCGCACACCTTGATTTTGCATCTCCAATCTCCAGAACTGAGACAGAACACGTTTCTGTTTGTGGGACTCAGCTATAGCAGCCATATAAGAGACTGAACATGTAAGTGAACAGTGGCCAAACTGTATATGAAACACCTCTGCCCTGAAGCAGCCAGCCCAGGAAGCCCAGCAAGTTCTGCAGCAATCAGCCCCAAGCTGCCGGGATGCAATTAGTAACGGACAGCTTTCCTAGTTTTAGTCTCTGGTTCTATCTTGCACCAAGCAGAAAAAGCCAAATATACACCCTAAACCAGTCCCCTCCCATGTCAGGGTAACCCACCTACTACTTTCCTTCCCAGCATCCCGCAGGGCCTGCAGCCTGCACTCTTTTCCCAGTCCTCTGCTGGTGGAT